ATCTCGTTCAAGAGTATTAACATCAATTTCAACTCTTTGAGATTTGAAAGGGGGTTGTCCACTATGATTTAACACATCAACATTGGAAGGAGAATGTCCTTTACTGGTTGATGTTTGTTCGTTTGGTTTAAAGAACGAAAACATAGTTTTTCCTCTCTTGTTTCCTTGATTTTCCATTATAATTTATAACCTATTCAAGTAAAAAGGATTAGGGAAGTCAGGTGCAAGATGAAAAGATACTAATGCTATAATAGAATATTCATAAAATACAAAATATACAAGGATAAACGAGTAATGCAAACTACTGGGAGATTAGAAAAACTTAACTTTGAAACAACCAGTAAATTATTAGTACTAGACTATTAGTGTGTTAGCATGCATTCATTTCTAGGGTACAGTCTACTATTTACTCCACTAATAATCTACTATAATGAATATGAAACATTGAATTCAAAATGAAAAGTCATGGCTTGTAAATTCTTACCTGATGATTTTATACTCTTGTGGCTCTCTGTATAGATTATTCTTCAAAATTCAAGCTAAAATTGTATATTGTTGAGAAGAAAACTAGCTAAAATTCCAAGTTATTTAGAAGACATATGAATCAATTAATTATTTATATTTAAATAGATTTACTATAAAATATAACTAATTAATTAGTATTGAAAGAAAAATTGGGTGGCTAAAATAAAGTGGCGGCTAATAGCTATTAATTATTTTGCATTAGAAAGAAAAGTGGAATACTAGGTTTGTTATAAAAGATGCGTAAAGTGGAATATAAATTTGTTGTAACAGATAGGGAAAGTGGAATAAGATTTACTATGTAAAAATTAAAAAAAAAATGAATCATTAATTTTTATTTAACCTGGGCTACAGCCCTCCTTGTAAAAGGCTCCGCCCCTGTCTGTGTGCCAAACCCAACTTCAACCATGGCACTCGTCTTGCTGCTGCTCAGAAAATATGGGCATCTCAAGCTAAAACAACAGAAGAAGACAATAAGATCAGCATTGGACCCCGTGGAGGCAAGGAAGCGGGGCAGGATGAAAAAGAGACCGGGGTAGTATATTATGGTCCGATCTCATCCACTGTCAAGAAAGTAAAATTGCTCTCTCTTTCAACCTGCTGCCTGTCCGTATCCTTGGGTCCTGTCATAACTTTTATGACATCTCAAGATTCAAATGTCATCCTGAAGGGGGCAGTTGCTTCTTCTGTCATATTCTTTAGTGCTTCGACCACTGCTGCTCTACACTGGTTTGTTAGCCCTTACATCCACAAGCTTAGATGGCAGCCTGGCTCAGACAGTTTTCAAGTGGAGATGATGTCCTGGTTGGGAATCTCCATTCCAAAGACTATCAAATTCGCTGATATCCAGCCTCCAGAGACCAACAGGCCTTTCGTGACATTTAAGGCCAACGGAAATTTCTACTTTGTTGATGCTGAGCACTGTCATAACAAGGCATTCTTGAATAGACTGATCCCAAAAAAATATGCTCATGAGTCCGCTTTCAAAAATCTGTGATAGGAAAATATGGTGATGACTGGCCTGCAAGGTTTCCTTGAGAACAGTAGGACCTGATTTTACTTGATGGTCTGCGATAAGCTCTGGCCTAGTTTTGAGCCAATGGGCATTTTTTGTCGTAGTCCTACTTTGCGAGACAAGTTTTCTCAGACAAGATAAATAACCGATATTTGATGTTTATATTTTAATGTTACGAATACGTCTATTATGCTTGAAAGTTTTACCTTTTTATTTTTTTGGGCAATGCAAGCGGCCAGAAGTCCCAAAACAAACCGACTACCCATGCAATTACGTGGAGTGCAGCCTATAGATGTCCCTACTGCATACCAGTAGGAGGTTCTGCATTTTGTTTTCCAGCCATTCAGCACATGCATTGGCTTCAAACACATGTTAGAACTGTAATTTGCCATGCTCTCCTCAACAGGGTTCTTCTCTGGTTGAGCTTAACTTCCAGCGTTTTTCATCGACCAGTGTTAGTAAGTGAATTGTTACTTTGGTCTCTTGAGGCCGCCTGCCAAGCCATCTTTCAATCCCAGCTTAGCACCCCAAAATTCATCTCTTTCTGTTACTGATGAGCAAGCACCAGCATGAAAAGCAAGCCCAAGAGGCCCACACTTTAAAGGCTCTTACTCATTAGCAAGGATTTCTATCTGAGCTGCGTGCCACAAAAATGTATCAACACCTTCAGGCACTCTCCACTACCAAACACATTCCCAAATGGCCATCCATCTCATTCCTGTTGTCATTTAAGATAGCTTCATACAGTCTTGACACAATTTTCCGTCATCACAACAGTTTATCCAAGCCCAAGTTTGAATCAGGACGACAGATCGCAGAGATTTTCATATGGGTGCTTTCACGAAGACCATCACTGACCAGTTACCAGTCCCAATTGCCTCCGCTGTCAACTTGACAGTCTATAAATAAGATTTGAGGGAGGGAGCGGCAGAAATCTCGCTAGAATCCAGTGCAGCCAGATGACTCTCCTACACCCAATCCAAGTATCTTCCCCAAGGCGAATCGATAGGATTTGCCTATTTTAACAACAAAGAAGGTGATAAATACGCTGCAAAAACGCAATTAGATGGCATTTTCGAAGCTTAATAACATTGCAGGCAAGTGGTCACCGCAGCCAGTGTGGAGCCCGAAAATTTTAAACGAGAAAACAAATTATAAATATTTGATATTATATATTATATAAATATATATTATATATAGAGAAATTAATTTAAAATACATGTATTAACTCATGTCAAATAAAATTATTTTAAAATTATTTTTAAAATAAAAAACTTATATTATAATTATTATTTTTCAAGTTTTTATATTTTAAAATTACTTAATAATAACTTTATTATTAATTTTATTAAAGATATTCTTTCTCAATATATACAATAAAATTTTTATTCATCTATTTTTAAATTTTTTAGGGACTAGTAAAATTATTGACATCAATTCTTTGTTAATTTATTATTTTATATAAGTGGTTAAATATAAATATAAAAATATATTTTTTTATTTTTTTATTGTATCTCTAATTTTTTTAGTTGTTCAATACTTCATTTTTAATTACTAATACATTAATTACCATTATTTTTCATATGAAATTCATAACAAAATACATATAATTAATTTATCAAAATACAATTAAATTCATATTAATGTGCATATAATATTATACACATATATTAATTTAACAAATCCATAAATTATTATATTATTAAGGAATAAAATCAAAATTAAATAATAAAATAAATATAAAAAATAAAGGAAATTTACTTAAAATATTAAGTATAAAGTATAAAAGGTTACTTAACTAATTAATAATTTAGAATTTTAAAAAAAATTGTAGAAGAAAGAGAGGTATAAACAATAAAGAAAAAAAACTTGTTAAACTATTATCTTAAAATTTTAATATAAAAAATATTTAAAAATAAAAATGGATTAAAGGGACAATTGTGGCTTTGTCACCGCAGCAATTGCAATAAAATGACAACAACTAATCACTAGCTTGATTCCATTTAATCCATTTACACATTTGAAACCGAATAATTGAAAACTCGAAAATAAATAAACGCAAATTTAGTAGATCAGATTCCAGAGAACAAGAGAGAAGGCAAAGTGTGTCGAAGGCCTTAAGGATAATATAATAAGTTTTTGTATTTAATATTAAATATTAAAACAAAGGTTTTTATTGAATGTAATTGCTTGAGATTTGTAAAAATTTTACCCATGGATATGAATTTATAAGGGGAATGATTCTAAACGCGCCGTCAGTATAGAGAGATAATTAAGCGAACAGAAATCTAAGTTGACAAGCAAAATTAGCAAGTACAATAAAAAAGAGTTGTGACAAGATTTGAAAGTTCTGACCAGTTGTAAAAAAAAAAAAAAAAAAAAGAGGATAAAATTCTCAACCCGAGAGACATAACAAAGACACAAAAATAGACTCTAGATCAAAACCACACGCCACCGCCGATCAAGAACCCAGTTCTGTGAACGACAGCCACGCAATGACGATGATGACTTAAGACTATAGTTCTCGTACCGAACACCTGGACAACCAATGAATAGACTAGTGAAAAGAACCCACTCTTGATTTATATTATAGCATCTAGTTGCATCATCCAGCACAGTTCACTTGCCACCCTTCTTGGCAGCAGATTTGGTCACCTTAGCACTAGAAGCATCCTTCTTCTCCACGCTCTTGATCACTCCCACAGCAACAGTCTGGCGCATGTCCCTCACAGCAAAACGACCAAGTGGGGGGTACTCTGAGAAAGTCTCCACCACCATGGGCTTCGTGGGAATCATCTTAATCATACCAGCATCACCGTTCTTCAGAAATTTAGGTTCCTTCTCCAACTCCTTTCCGGATCGCCTGTCGATCTTGGTGAGGATCTCAGCAAATTTGACAGCAATGTGACTGGTGTGGCAGTCAAGAACAGGGGCATAACCATTTCCAATCTGCCCGGGATGGTTCATGATGATCACCTGGGAGGTGAAGTTTGCAGCCTCCTTGGCAGGATCATCCTTCGAGTTTGAGGCAACAAAACCACGCTTCAGATCCTTCACCGCAACATTCTTAACGTTGAATCCAACATTGTCACCAGGAAGAGCCTCCTGGAGTGCTTCGTGGTGCATCTCAACAGACTTAACTTCAGTAGTTAGTCCAGTTGGCCCGAAAGTGACAACCGTACCAGGCTTGATGACACCAGTTTCCACACGGCCCACAGGGACCGTTCCGATACCACCGATCTTGTACACGTCCTGGAGGGGGAGACGGAGGGGCTTGTCTGAGGGCCTCTTGGGGTCTGGCCATCCTTCGAGATACCAGCTTCGAAACCACCAGTGGTGGAATCAATGATAAGCACGGCACAGTCAGCCTGGGAAGTCCCAGTAATCATGTTCTTGATAAAGTCGCGATGTCCAGGGGCATCAATGACAGTGCAGTAGTACTTGGTGGTCTCAAACTTCCACAATGCAATATCAATGGTAATTCCGCGCTCGCGCTCAGCCTTAAGCTTGTCGAGCACCCAGGCATACTTGAATGACCTCTTGTTCATCTCAGCAGCTTCCTTCTCGAACCTCTCGATGACACGCTTGTCAATACCTCCAAGCTTGTAGATCAAGTGTCCAGTGGTGGTTGACTTGCCAGAGTCGACATGGCCAATGACCACGATGTTGATGTGCGACTTCTCTTTGCCCATACTTAAGTAATAGAGTTGAGCTGTCATACATAAAGGTTACAAGAGTTAAGAACAAAACAATGGGACACCGAAACCACATAGAGAAAGTAAGCTCAAATATGCAACTGGGTCTAATTGTAAAATACAGAATAATAACAAATTCTCTAGGGGTATGATGCAAGTACTCGGACCACAAATCAATCGAAAAAACAATGTTTAAGCCAACTTCAAATATATCTTAATATTTAAAATACTGAAACCCAAAATAAAATAAAAAAACTTTCTATTTAGCAGCAGAATATCATTTTGAAGATGCACATTTGTATAGCAATTTAAGATTATTAATCAGTTAAGCAGCAAATTATAAGTTTATTTTAGTGACAGTGCTTAAACTAATTGAAGAGAATCACAGAATCAATACAGGAATCCTTTTAGATATATCAAAACCAACACAGAAAAAACTAGATCTAAATAAAAATCAACGACGATGTATGCCAGTAACATTCACTGAGAAAACCGTAAATAATCCAAAGAAAACAAGAAAGGCACGTTCTAAAATTGAAGGCTGATAAAACTGATTCAAAACACAGATGCTTAACAGAGAAAAAAGAAACAACATTTTCTTGTTTATTATGATAAGAGGAGCTAATCAATAAGGACATGTGAGAGAACAGGAGAACATCAAGAATCGAACCTGAAGAGAGGCGCTAAAACCCTAGCCGCGAGAGAGGAGAAGCAGGCTAATACAAGAACAGGCAGTGAGCGAGAGAGAGGGAGGCTGGCAGGGTTTGCATACATATTTAAATCACCCTGGTGATATTTCTGTTTCCTACAATGACCTCGTTGTGAAATATAAACACCGTCATGTCCTCGCATGCATTGGTAATTTGGCAAAATATCGAGAACGCTTTTAACTAGCCTTCCCATCTTTGGAATTGGAAATAAAACAAAATAATAATTGATAATATTGTATTGAAGATGCCGTGTTCTTTTGGTTTGCTGATTTTATTTTAATAGTAATAATAAAGAGAATAAACTAAAAAAAAGTAGGATGCTCGTAGAGAAATATGTTTTTATGTTTTTTTAAAGTGTTTTTTATTTAAAAATATATTAAAATATTTTTTTAAATTTTAATAAAATATTTTTAATATTAGAACATCAAAACGATATAGATAAAAAACAATTTTAAACAAAAAATTAAATTTTATTAAAATTTGAATGAAATCACAATTTTAAAAGATGTCTAAATACATAAAGAAGTAAAACAAATCTTAATTATAATTTCCTTTTCTTATATAAAATGGGTCACTTCAAAGACAAATGTGTTTTTATATTTTTTTTAAAGTGTTTTATATTAAAAAAATATATTAAAACAATTTTTTTTAGTTTTTTAAAAATATTTTTGACATTAAAATATCAAAATGATATTAAAATATAAAAGAATAATTTTAAACAAAAAATTAAATTTTATTAAAATTTTAGTAGAATCACAATTTTAAAAGGTGTGTGAATACATGAGGAAGTAAAACAAATCTTAATTATAATTTTCTTTTCTTATATAAAATGGATTACTTCAGAGAGAAATGTGTTTTTATATCTTTTTAAAATATTTATTATTTAAAAATATATTAAAATAATTTTTTAAATTTTTAAAAAATATTTTTGATATTGTAACACTAAAATGATCTAAAAATATAAAAAAAAATCGTAACATTAAAATGATCTAAAAATATAAAAAAAAATTAAAAAAAAATAGATTTTATTGAAATTTAAGTAGAATCACAGCTCAAAAAAGTATCTGAATACAAAGTAAAGCAAAGCTTAGTTATAATTTCCTTCTCTTATATAAAACGGGCCACTTCAAAGAGAGAGAAATAAAAACACATAAATGGCGAATTTGTCTATATTTAGTGGCATCGAATAAAGTTGCTTGAGCAAAAACATATATATCGGAAAAGGTTAAGTTTTGATGATTTAATCAGGGTTTTTTTTAGGAGAAACAAATAAATCAATTACAATGTCTTATATTCTATATATGAGGTTATAATAAGATAGGATAGGATGAAATAAATAGTTAATAAATCTATACACAACAATGAGTAATTGTCCTAGACAGTAAAGGTACAGGATTCAACTCTAATGCTGCACTTGTGGTTTTGAAAACTGTTTAGTTGCATGTCAAGTCCCTGCTCTCAGGCTTAGGAGCATTATAAGTAAATATTATCCTGGTCTCGTGCAGGAACGAAGCTGTCATTTAGTTACTGTTCTATAACAAAAAAAGATTGAGAAAATGAAGATAAAATAAAAATAAAATTGTGTTTATAATGATATGTAAGATAAAATAATTATTTTTTATCATATTTGATTATAGTGAATAATACATAAAAAATTTATTTTACATTAACTTTAGAGGTTGATCCGAAACCTAATCTGGTTCGAGTTTAAAAAAATAAATAAATAATTGATTCAATCTGACCTGATCAAAAATTTAAGTTAATTTAGAATAAAACATGGATCAAAACCCGTTGACTTTTTTGGATTTGTTTTTGTTAAAAGTTGGCTGATTCGATTTTTTTTTAAAATTTAAGTTAATTTAGAATAAAACATGGATCAAAACCCGTTGACTTTTTTGGATTTTTTTTTGTTAAGACTTGGCTGATTCGATTTTTTTTTGAAATTTAAGTTAATTTATAATAAAATATGGATCAAAACCCCCATTGACTTTTTTTTTGGATTTTTTTTTGTTAAAACAGGGTTGTTTTGATTTTTTTTTGAAAAAAAATTGAATCAGCCAAGTTGACTCTCCCACCCGTGACCCAAACCTAGTCTCAGGTCAACTCCGTATTGAAGGTTGTTTTGATTTTTAAAAAAAAAAAATTAAATCAGCCAAGTTGACTCTCCCACCTGTGATCCAAAACCTAGTCTCAGGTCAACTCCGTATTGGGTTTTAAAAATACAATAATAACTACTTTTATATATATATCGACTCATGTTAACCCTCCTAACAACCCGATTGACTCCTAAATCAAGTTTTTTTAACTATAATAATAACAATTTGTATTCTTATATTAACTCAAGTCAACACGGGTTGACCCTCCTGATCCTGACCTAAGTTTTGCCTCAGTTTGTCCCCTAGATCAAGTTTTTAAGCTACAATAATAACTAATTTCATTTTATATTGATTCCGTTCAACTCAGGTTTACCCTCTCAACATGTGATCCAGACCTTACTCCAAGTCGACCTCTAATTTGAGTTTAAAAATTGTGATAATAGTTATTTTTATTTTTACATTGACCTGGATTAACAATTAACTCCATTTTGGATATTGTTCGGAGGAGGCCTTTAAATTGAGTTTTAAAACTATAATAATAATTATTTTTATTTTTATTTTTATGTTGATCCGGGTCAACTCAGCTTGTAACTCGAATCTCTTTTAATGACTCAGATTTTATTTTAATCTAACTCGCAAGTTAGATTTTAAAACTATAATGATAATTATTTTTATTTTTATATATTCTAATTGAACAAATCTAGAGTCAAAAAATTTTTCAAATAAAATTTTAAGAATAAAAAATAAAAAATATTTTATCTTGAGATATGTTATTCTTGTATCTCATATCTTTAAAAAAATATAAATTTACTTTAAAATTATTTTAAAAATATATTTATTTTTATCTTTATCTTTTTAACTAAATATATTCTTATTATCTCTGTATTTTCATCCTCAAATTAGAGTTAAAAAGTTGCATTCAAGATAAAAGTGTTTTGCTGTTCTGAAGCATGAAACTCAACCACTTCTAGAATCCGATGCTGCCCGACGCTTAAGGGAATAAATACCGGATTCCTAACATCCCATGTCCGAGAATCATAAAGAAATATTCAAGGTAGCTTTTGTAATTTAATTTATTTTTTAAGATACTATTTAAACTGTTTTTCTATTTAAAAAAAATATTAAATTGATTTTTTAAAAAACATATTAATGTAAAAAATAAAATTTTAATATATTTTTATTTTAAAAAAACTACATCAAATCATCAAACTTACATCAAATAAATCATCAATCAACTTATATGCAATAATTTATTTTTTTCATACAGACAACAGCAACAAAATCCAACTTGATGTTACATTTGTAAATTTAAAAGCTATTTAATTTTGCTCTATTTCTCCCCTCAAAGTTTGGTGCACTACACAGATGAAATCTATAACTATCCAATATATATAACAAGATGAACTAAACTTCAATACAGGACGAACACTTCTTGGTATTTCGAAAAGATAACACATGCATCAAGTGAGTGTACATCTATTCCACTTCGATTTGAAAGAATACTAATGTTTTTTTTTTTTGTTTTTAATAAGATAGTATTTATGACAACTTGGATTCTATATGGAATATTCTACCGGCCATCATGGACTCATATAAAATAGGGTTGGTTTAAGTGGAAGTGGAAGATTTTTTTTTTTCATCGAGCAATTATTCTCAAAACATGTTTGGAAGTGTGGTTATAATTATTTTTTAAAATATTTTTTAATTAAAAAAATATATTAAAAATTTTTAAAAATTATTTTTAAAATTAATATATTAAAATATTTTAAAAATACTTTCCAAACACAACGTAAAATTTTACCTGCAAGCCAATCTGTCTTTTTCATATAATCATGGAGTTTCTTTTTGCATTTCACACAATATCTTGTGAATTTATTTAAAAAAAAATCAAAGAAAAAAATTCAACGCAACTAATAGTTATGGTTTACTAACCCCTTTTATTTTATAATATATTTTAAAATATATTTTATTTGAAAAAACATTAGATTAATATTTTTATATTCATTATTGATGATTTTAACTTATTGGTATCAAATATAAAAAAAATCTAAATAATAATTATTTTAATATATTTTTAAATAAAAAATATTTTTAAAAAAATTACCTTGCATTATTACAATGCTGGACTCGCAAAATCATGTTAAAACGCCTGTAATAATAATCTTATTACTGAGCGCTGATTAATAATCAATACAACTATATGCATAAATAATTCAATATCTTTTACATGTTCGGAGATGATGAATAAAGTCTGCTAAAAAACAATTAAGTGTACAGTGTTTTAACCATATATTTATTATTATAAAATAACTAATGTTATGTATTTAAAAGATAAAATTGCATCGAACGCCTGTATATATTCACATCATGCAACACTAAGCACTTTCTTTATCTGAAAATTATAATTTCATTAACATCTCAAAGAATATAAAGATATTTTTTAACAATAAAATCAGCGACTCACCTCCATATATTCCATAAAATCTTAAAAAAAAAGATTAATCATTTTAATATATTTTTAAACAAAACAAATACTTGAAAAAATAACCGAGAATAACAAAATAGCTTATAGTCTAACCTTATATCCAGTCGACGAAGATTCCCAGTTCAATCCATACAATAGCTTCTTCTATAACCACAACTCCTTCACCCAAGCAGCATTTACACTGCGGTAAACTGCCCCTCACTCAGGGGCTCTCTGCTGGGTGCTTGACTCACATTATTAGCAGCAGAGCCTGCAAATGCTCGCGGGCAAGTGTCTGGGATCTTGTCATTGCGCGTTCGTGCTTGGAAAACAATGGAATTAGGGCAGTGTTTGGGGCCCCAGCCACCCCCCCTCGTGAGCATATTGTTCTCAGATTGTATAAAAATATTTATCAAAATGATAGATTCAAAAATGATTTTATATATATATATATATAATGACAGTTTGATGGCAATTGACTGTAGAGATATATTGAAGATTAAACTTAAATTATAAGTACAAATTAAACTAATGATATCCAATCGGAGGATAACTGGATGTTGCCGAATTTTAATACCTAGAATTTTGGTACATGATCAGATACTTGCAGTACCTTCATGAGTGGATG